TCTTCGGGCGTAGGTGCCTGAGACTGCCGATCGACAAATTCGGATCTTTTCCTTTTGTATCAATACATACTTTCCTTTCACACGTCTTCTTTGCCAATCATGTTTGCAAATCCCATCGAAATCACGGCAGATAGTGATCCATTTCCAATGATGGGAGCGGACAAGCCTACGACACGTTATGGGTGTTACCAAGGGGTCATCCCCAGTTTACAACCATGAATTTCCTATATCCGCGTATTCATCTGATCCATTGCTGTACTATGTGTTGGAGCGGCGGCTTCACTACTTACTTACCCGCGCTGCTATTATGATGTGATATACCTCAACAATAATTAGGGAAACCTTATAACTAGATGTCGTAAATTCGATGTGAAAGCAGTCGTGTAAAACCCAAAATATATTTATACAAATTAGACTAGTAGGGATATAACAATGCTGTACTAGTGTTACCCATTCTCCCGGATTGGGAATGCGGCTTCACGTGCGGCTCCACCAGCGGTTTGCCTGGTTTGCTTGGCATGCCGAAAGTCTTGTCCGACTGCAGCTCCAATACTCCGATTTTCACAGATGCCCTCTATCTGAACGCAATAGAATCACCTGCTCGGCCATTGGTATATCTCGGAGCGGCAAAACAGATCTCTACACTATGGCCATTACCATTCTTCCTCCGGTTGTGGAGGATGTCGACGTTCCTTACTCCGATTCGGAGGACGATGCCATGTCCGTGGATTCAGATGGAGGAGTCGATCTAGCAGCGGGAGATGCCACAAGACCTAGCAAGCGGGTTCGCTTAGTGGAGGGAACAAATATTGGCGCTGGAGTTCTCACACCGGGTGAGATCGTAACAGACGACCCGCAATGGATGAGGTTGGTTTGGCCCAATCTCTATATCAGCTCAAGGCGCAATTGATTGACACTTGACCGCAGAGGACATGGCACGTACACTAACCCACTATCCACCTCCATCATTGCCACCGTCGCCGGTACGGTTCAGAAGACCAACAAACTGCTCTCCGTCCAGCCCCTACGCGCCCGCTATACGCCTGAGATCGGTGACCTGGTGGTGGGGCGCATTGTCGAAGTGCAGTCTCGCCGATGGAAGGTTGATGTCGCTGCTCCCCTTCTCGCACAGCTTCCCCTCTCCGCTATCAACTTGCCTGGTGGTATCTTGCGTCGACGAACGAGCGCCGATGAACTACAAATCCGAACCTTCTTCAGCGAGGGTGACCTCGTCGTTGCTGAAGTCCAGTCGGTACATTCGGACGGAGGCGCCTCGCTGCACACCCGGTCGCTGAAGTATGGTAAATTGAGGAACGGCGTGTTTCTTGCGGTGACGGGGACGGGTGGCAGTGGTGCGTCCAGCTCGTCGGTCAAAGGTACTTCGGGGGCGAGTGCTACGGGAGCGGGAGCCGGAGGTGCAGCGGGTGCTGGTGGAGTGGTTCGGTCGCGCAGACAGGTCTGGACGATCAATACAGCCAATGGAGGTGGGGATGTTGATGTGATTTTGGGAGTTAATGGATACATCTGGATTTCTAAGCACGCCGATGGAGCTGCTGCTGCATCGTCGACAACGGAGAATGTGTCAATCACGCGCATGGAGGAAATGGTGTCGAGTTCCATCTACTCGAGTCAGAACGATGACATCCCGCCACAGACGCGTCGGGAGATTGCCCGGTTGGCGCAGTGCATTCGGGTGCTTGTCAACGGAGGAGTCCGGGTGGACGAAGAGACGGTGATGGGAGCCTACGAAGCCAGCTTACAGGTGGACCTGGAGGTGGGAGATGAAGAGGATGAGGAAGATCGGGGCAAGGAGGGCAGAGAATATCTGGAGGGCGACAAGGCTCGTCGGATTCTGGATTTGGTGCTACAACAACTATAGGGTTGTATATGGCTTTTCGAACCTTTCGATAGTAGTTCTCGTGAGAATAGATACCCCGACAAATGGACGAACATTACTGCCTCAATAATGGGTGTGTGTAGTAGAGTTTCACCGAGACTAAGTGATTACCATCCTCTTCTGTCTGTCTTTTATCTTGTGATGCCTTCAACTTTTGCCTTTTTGGGGCTGATAAGCAAAGACCCCGCATCACGTGGCGATAACAGGACTGATTATTGGTAGATCCAAAAGAGAGTTAAAGAAAAGAAGGGATTCACTCAAGAATGCAAGTAAAGGAGATCAGAAGATAAGAAATCAGAAGTAACCAAGCAGAAGCAAGAGTAACACAAAACAATTCAGGGATCCGAGCGAGGGTGGCGTTGATCAGAAGGGGGCGTGACCAGTTGGCTGCCGCACAATTATTATTATTATTTATTATTCTTATTATTATTCTTTCTGGTGTTACTCTTATTCTGGATTCCTTCACTATCTCTTCTTTCTCACCTTCTTCACTTCATCTCTTCATCCACCCATTGGGGATTTTCCATCCAACACTCTTGTTTTCTTCCAGCCTTACCATGTCCTTCGTCTCAGAATCACTCTTTCTACTGTCTACCATTACCTTTACCATACCCTCAGTATAGCCGACCGGGTTCTGCCGGCCACACTTGGTGTTGCCTTGTTCCTAATAGTACAAGTTCATACTTGTTTCTACATTCCGGTCTCCCCTTTGGCTTATTACATAGCATAAATTCTCGGATACATTATCCCGCGTTTTCTCCCGTGAAAATTCTTCTTGCACCTAGCAATCTTTTCTTTGCAATCACCTCCCAGCTGGTCGACATTGCGCGCATCCATCATGCCGGACCTGCGTCGTCAAGTGTTGGAGAGTGGCAAAACCATCTCTCGTAAAGCTGCTTCCCGCGAAGGCTCTCGACGAACTTCGCGCGCCAACTCTGCCCAGAATTCCCGCCAGTCCTCGCAGAATCAGAGCCGATATGCATCGGACGAGGAAGATCTTGACAGTCTCAGCGATGATACGGCCATGAGGTGAGCACTCCATGATCACTGCTTTTCCTTTCCTTCAATTATTTTTTGGTTTCCCCCCAAACGGAATGATGTCATCGTCGTCCGTCCCCTCTTGTGTGCTCCGTTACTAATGCGTGTTTTACGACCCAGCATTGGCTCATTGGACGATCTAACCGATAACCCCGATCTGGACAACCATGATTGGGTTGAGGAGCTTGGAGATGTCATCCAGGATATTCTGGACCGCAAGCGTAGTAGTAATCTGAGTCGCGAAGAGGCCTACGCTGCGTTTTGCCGACTGGCTAAGTATCACTATGTCGAGGAACAAATTCGCGGTCGCGTTCTCGACTTGGTAGCGGCATTCAACCGCAGTATCAAGTTCGAGACCAGTGTGCGCGAAACAACCCTGGCGCTTCGTGCCGTTGAGCTCCTCGCCATTTCAGCCTACGACAACACAATCTACGAGCATGTCGAGCCCTTGCTGACCCGCACCGTGCGCGATTCGACGTCCAACACGGTCAAGGCAGGCGCGATTCACTGTCTGGGCGTCTGCTCTATCCATGCAGGCGCTAGCGAAGATGGGATCCTCGACCAGATGACGTTCTTCTTGGACATCGCTGCCTCTGACGGGCAGTCGATCGGTGCCGGGGACGACGCAGCCAGCGTCGTTGCTGCTCTGCAAGAATGGGGCGTGCTCGCGACCTATATTGACGATCTCGAAGGCGAAAGCGAGGACGCCGTCCAGATCTTCATGGACCAGCTGAACAGTGGTGATTCGGCGGTCCAAATTGCTGCCGGCGAGAACATTGCGCTCTTATACGAGAAGAGTTACACACCACAGGAGGACGATGAAGACGACGAGGAGGAGGATGAAGAATCGGAAGAGGAAACATTCCTGTCTGGAGGTCGCGGCAACGGCCCAAAGTTAGTCAAGCGCTACAACGCCTACCACAACACGCATGAGCTTGAACAGCAACTCCATTCGCTGGCCAAAGTCCACAGCAAACGGATCAGCAAACGCGATAAAAAGAGCCTACACAGCAACTTCGCCTCCATTTTAACGACGGTGGAGAATCCTCGTCGGGGACCCATGTACAACACCGCTATCGACCAAGACACCAACCGCCACTACGGCAGCAAGCTGACGGTCAAGATCGGCCGGCAGGGCGTGATGAACATCGATCGCTGGTGGAAATGGACGCGGCTGAGCTCGCTTCGACGCACCCTGCAGGGCGGCTTCGCGGCACACTACTACCAAGGCAACCGCGCCGTGCTGGAAAGCCTTCCGGTGATCATGCGCATGGACACGCCGTCGGACCGAGGGTATGCCAAGCGCACGGCCAAACATCGGGATAGTCGTCGATGGGCGGTCCACGAGGCCTCGGACGAGGACTAGAGAGACATGTGACACATTCATCACTTGTTTTACTGGGTTTTTTTTTTAAGTTTGATTCCCTGTTGCGTTAGATTTATTGCAGCGGGTGTTTTGTGAAGTCTTCTTTGTTTTCATGCATTTGACTTTGTACCCCGTTTCTAGAACACAGAACAGACGCGGGATATTACTCGCCGCAGGTATCTCGCAGTGTGATAGAAACGAATAAAAGCTTACATCCATCCATACATACTTGACATATAACTATGTATAGGAATCATTTTCAGTTATTGCTATATGATATCTTCAATTAACTAGTGTATATAATGCTGACTACGTTACTATTCACTATTCAATACATAATTTAATCTCAATTCATGACGGTATCAATAGTAAGACCCAATTCGGCACTGCTTTTTATTATATGTCAATAGTAAGTAGTTCAACAAGAACAAGAATATATTCCATCTCATTACACGCACATTAAATGAGGCAGCAAATGAATAAATAGTTCGTAAATCAATAGATAAGCGTACACCGAGAGTGTTACTATATAAGTTGAGTAGAATTCCACCTATTTTCCCCCAATATATCCTCTATAGTAATACCACTCACCACCGCACTCCCGCGATACTTCACTAATAGTATTTCCATCACATCACATATAAAATGGAATTAGACCTTACAGCCACATGCACCCGTAAAATAAAAGCGCTAACACAATTACTTCGTAAAAACTGGCACCACGCCCGTCCAGGCGCCCTTACTCCGTTCCTCCCAGTAGCCTTCCTTCCCGGACTTCAGTCGCCACACGGATTCATCTCCCGGTGCCTCATCTACGGGAGTGAACCACCGCGGTGTCCAAGATTCGCCTGCGGCTTCCATCTCGCGACGACGAGCGCGCTGACCCTCTTCCAATTGGACCTTGACTGCCTCGGCTTGGTCGACGTCGCCGTCTTCGAGGGCGCGCTGGTCCGGACGAAGTCGGGAGTCTGTGACGGGGAGTTTGCCGTCCTCGATGGGAGTGACCTCATTCAAGGTCGCCGCGAAGGCCGTGAGACCGTAGTGTTTGGGCGCGTTGGGGACCAGAGGTCCGGCACTCCAGATGGTTCCCGAGGGGTTGCCGTTCTTGGTGAGGTCGAGGGAGGAGGTCCAGGTGCCCGTGAGACCCAGAGGTAGGTCGCGGCCGGAGGGGTCCGTGGATTTGGTGCTGACTTCTTCGCTGCGACCGGAGAACATGCCGCCGGCTTTGAACGTGGAGAGGGAGCGGTGGCCAGTAGTTTCGTTGACGACGACCATTTCGCCGACAGGTTCGACGTATTTCTCGCCGGCGATGATGTTGCGGAGGAACGAAGTGGCCTGGGCCCAGCTGAAGTGTTCGCCAGTGGTGTGGAGGGTCAGGCGCATCTTGCCTTCGGTGATGATTTCGGCGGATTTACCCCAGAATTTCTGCGTCGGCATGGGGGATTGCGTAAGGCTCCAGTCTTTGCTGTCGGCTTGGTAGGCAAGCTGGACAGGGCGATGCGAAACCTTTTCGGCGATGAAGCGGAAGCCAAGGTCTTCACGGACGAGCTCGTAGGTCTCGCCGAGCATGGGGTTGAACGGCTTGCGGATAGCGCGCTCACGGATCCGGTTGCTCGAGATGGGAGAGAGGGCGAATGCAGTCACGTACATGAGGCGTTCAACGGGGTCGGAGGCGCTGGCGGCGCGGTCGAGCAGGGTGGAATACTCCATAACTTCGGCGGCACGCTGAAGCAGCGACAGGGGCTCGTTGGAGGAAACAGGCATGGATATCTGCGACAGGTCCTTGCCGACATTCTTGCGGAGGAAGCCAATTAGACTGGGCGGCATGACTGTCGGCGCCGTGATGTTGGCACGACGCTTCACGGGGCTGAGTGGGAGCGGCGTGAGCGCTTTGGGGCGCCCGGGGAAGAGCGGCGAGTACTGATCGTGTCCAGCAGGCGCCTCGTCGGCCTCGTCCTCACTGTCATCAGAGGGAGCGTCGTTGACCATGGGTTCTTCTTCCACCTTGGGTTTCGAATCCCATACAGTGTGGTCGGAGGCGTTGTCGGCCGCTGCCTCGTCGTCGCTGTCGCCCTTGATTGTGAGAAGCGCTTTACCGTCATCGGCATCGAAGAACTCCTGGGAGACATCAGACTCGAAGCTGCGCCGCGCCTGCACGGTCGCGCCGGGAGGGTGTCGTCGCTGCTTGCTTTCGGAGATGAGGGTCGAGAACTCGCTGACGACCTGGTCCAGGTCACGCAACACGGCCATAAGATGTTCATGAACCTCCTCCATGGGATCCGGGGGGCTGGCGATGCTGCTGGGCTTGCGATCGCCCGCCAGGGACGCCGTGTCAAAGGCGCCCGGCACAGCCAGCTGCGAGGACATGGAGGCCATGGTCGTGGTGCGCTTGACGCCGGGTTGCGTGGCCGTACTATTCTTGCGCTTCCAGAACGGGCGTTTGGCGTCCCCAGACTCGTCTCCGTTCAGGTCCGTCGGCGTGCGATGCGGGCTAGGCGAGCGACCGCGGGGTTTCTCCGCGACATTGCCGCCCAGGTACTTGGGATCAGTGTCCTTGGCCAGGCGCCGGACAGCATCGCGCGATCCGGATACCTTGCTCACAAGGCCCTCAACCTGCTCCCATTCCCTTTCCTCGACGGGGTTCGGAGCGACACGCTGAGATGGCACGCGTAACAAGGGTTCGGATGGCAAGGTGGTGTCGTCGGTGGCGGTAGCAGGGGTCTTGGAGGACGGGGCGGAGGCCCGCTCCAGCGCCCGCTTCCAAGCGGCGAACTCCTGGTCATTGTTGGCGCGAAGGTGCCAGACTTCGGTGCCGGAGTCAATGGAAATCTCGCGCGACTTCTCGTTGCATGCGACCGCAGCCAGCGACAAGGGGATGGAACCGCGGAGCGCGGCAGAATTCCGATCGTGGTAGTAAGACAAGGTCGACGAGGTATAGTCGAGGGAGAAGAATCGACGCGCCCAGCCCTGATGGCGCTTCCGCCGTCGCTTCTGAAGCAGGCCCGTATAGGTATTGAGCGAGTCGCGGTCGCTGGCGAGAGGCGGCGGCTGAGCGACGCTGTTGCCCCGTCGGCGGGCAGCCAGGGACTTTCCGGATTCAGCGGTATCGGACCGTATGGGGTGGCTGGAGGCATGAGGGACGGGAACTGACTGTGGTGGGAGGGCGGTTGGGTAGGTGAGCAGGGCGAGAGTGACGGTTTTCGAGAGTTGCTTGGAGAAGGTATTGTCAAAGACCAGGGCGTAGTTCCCACCTTCGTTGGCGGGCACGTCGTAGGTACCGCGGAAGATGCGTTCGGCCTCGCATTTGCCGATCCATTGGATCTGCTTAAGGCCAATGCCTGTCAGCTTGTCAATGACGGAGGCATTGGGTCGCGAGGCCGCAGCGCCAGCGGTCGCGGGCAGGTTTTCATTAGAATCGGCGTTGGGGGAATCGGTGGCAGGTAAGTTGGTGTTGGAGCCCAGAACGGCCGAATGGCCGGGATGCTTGAAGATGCCGAAGTTGATGGACTTTTTGTGCGGTTGAATGCTCCAGGAGATGGTGTGGGCGGGCTTGACCGATACCCAGCGGACAAAGTAGGACTGTAGAGAGGGGCAACAACAGAGACAAGGAGTTAGTCCAATGCCATCAATCAATTCAGCGATTCAGCGTGTCATGCATCCATCCCCTCCGCCCCCTTACTTCAGTGTCAACATACCTTGCTGTGGATCTCCAGCTCCTCCATGGCCGCCATCGTTGCGCGAGTGGCCCTTGTTTAGGTGGTGGGGGGTAAATGGGAAAGACGACAATGAGGGGGAGCAATTGAGAAGATGAGGAACAAAACCAAGTGGGAGATGGATCTTTTAAAAGTCGGAGGACTGGCGAAGGAGCTGAAACAAAAAGGAGGGAATGATGGATCAGGCTGAGGCTCAGCTGTACGTCAGCCACGAGGCAGGGCAAGAAGCAAGCAGAAGTGGCAGCAGAAGCAGCAGATCTTACCAGTCATGCAGCAGCCCGGCTCACGTTGGATTGCGGGAACGATCGGACAAGGAGACACGGGCCAGAAGTGACTGTGGGATGAAGGGTCAAAGAGTGACAACAGATGCGGGTATTTTAAGGAAAAAGGAGGGGCGGTGGAGGAGGAGGAGGAGGAGGAGGAGGGTAGTAGTAGTTGCTGTTGTTGTTGAAGTAATTGGGGTAAAGGAAGTAGTTAAGGTCAAGGAGAAGGAGAAGAAGGAGGAGGTGCGGAGAAGCCGGACCCTAAACAACTTCCACTCTTCCTCTCCCTCTCTCCAAGACCGGCCGAGGGACAACTTAAACCAAACAATTGGCCTTTGAAGGGGATGAGCAGCTTGTGTCCGCGTCACATGAAAAGGCCAGAGAACTGAGCTCAATAGTAAGTCTCTAGTCCATCTCCGACTATTGATGATCTGGTTCCTGGTGGATCCATCCAGTTTCCCTTTTACCTTTTTATTCTCTCGTTTTCTGGAATACCTCGGAGTTTCACGGAAATTTAATGCGTCAGGGGCAATCACCACTGGAGATATATCTACTACTAAGAATATTCAATCTATAGTTCAGACAGTAATAGCTGATCCCAATGCAATGCAATCAATTCATGTTTAATTCTCTTTTAGTCCCCAGCAATTAATCGTTTCGAACCCGCAACCATGAGATGCTACGCGGATGCTAAATCAACACATATTTGTCTTATGAGAGAACAAGAGAGAGAGAGAGGTAGAGGAAGAATAGAAGTCAAGAAAATACACAGGAGAAAAAAAAATCCAAGAATCCCGACCTCATCCAGCAATCAACGATAAAAAGAGATAGAACGTCCCGAGGAATATTACACACAGTATACAGAAGGAAAGAAAAAAAAGGAAAAAAAAAACCATCACCTTCACCTTCACCGCCGCTTTCCGGCCTGCATGTTGGTGAACAACAACTTGAAGCCATTGCACAGAGCCCGCATGTCCGGGTATGGGTTGCGCTGCAGCTCATATCCTTGAGGGATCACCTTCACTGGCCAGCTGTGCAGCGGCGCCTTCTCACCCGCCTTGAAGCACAGGAAGAAGTAGCCCGCATGTTTGGGATCGATGCAGAAAGCGTAGGCCGACCGCCGGGGGTTGGCCTTGGTGTATGTTTCCAACCAGGAGTCTAGAGAAAAGAGGAAAGACGTTAGTGATCATCACAAAACATAACGAGCCCTAAACAAGACTAAGACAGAGAATGACTTACAGGTGGCGTCCTTGTTGCCATCCTGGTACTTCTCATGCAACATCATCTCATCCACCTTCTTGGTCATCGCCTTGACGTGGTTGAAGATCAAATCGTCCAGATCACTGTATGTGTAGCGTCCGCCCACCTTCAGCGTTCGTCCCACGGAAAATTCGTTCTCCTTGTCCAGCTCCAGCACGTCAATATGCTGGAAGATGCCGTCGGACACCTTCCATGTCACCGCCAGATGGTCCGGTCCCTTGGACGACGGCCGGATCACCACATCTCCCCGGCTCTGCGACCCCAAGAACTCCTCCGCCTGCGTCGAGTTGAACGGCCGGAACATCGGATGCTTGATCACTCGCATCGTCCGTCCGCCGCTCTGCGTCTTCTCCTGCTGCGCTTCTCGGTCCTGCGCCTCCTGACGGTCATCCCACTCCCCTTGCAATCGGTCCGGCGTCCGCAGCACCGGCCGGCTGACTTGCTCCTCGCGCAGCGAGACATTGCACAGGAAATTCTTGCGGTTTAGGAAGAGCACCTTGGCCGGTAGCGTCTGGTGGATCTGGTACAGCGCTCGCACGGGGATATCATACCGGTCGGTCAACTCCGACTCGGGCACCAGTGCGTCAATTCCGCAGTCCAGCTTGCCGTCAATGTGATCGTCTGTAATCCGCTTGATGGAGATGGGCACCACCATACCCTCCGACAACGTGTCTGCCGTCTCACCAGTGAGCATGGTGAAGATGTCATCCGTGCTGAGGAAGACGAATTGTTTCCGGAGTTCCTCATACGGCTGTTGCAGCTCCGCCCGGATCGTCTCCAGTGTCGCTCGCTTGCGCTGGTTCAGGTTCTTCTCCAATTGCTCGGCATACTCCTCCAGAATCAGGTCGTTTACACGATCCTGTGCCTCCTCGCGGAACAGTTTGCGTACAATCGCACCTGGTCCATTCTCGTCCGTCTCCGCCTTGATATCCTCTTCATCCAGTTCCAGCGCATCAGCCGCCATCTTGCGCGCAATATCGTAGTCTTCCGGGTGTACACGAGTGTTGTCCAGCGGATCCGCATCCGGATCAGCGTTCTCAAAGTCGATGTACAAGAAGCTGGCGCAGTTGTTCCACACCTTCACACCCATGGCCGGATACTGGGCATTCACACCCAGCAGCTCCGCCCGATTGTTGACCACGCCGCCGTTCATGTTCACAATCTTGAGCAGGTGTGCCGCCTTACGGGGTCCCAGACCACAGACGTAGGGCAGGAGGTTGGCCGTCGCCGAATCCGTGACGGCTTCGTTGATGTCCACACCTACCAGATTCACCATGTCCACCAGCGCCGTCTCCAACTGCTTCAGCAACAGATCCTGAGAGACGAGCTGCTGGCCCGGCTTGAACTGGATGGACACTATGTCCCGACCCAGAGACGCGTATTCCTTCAGCGGGCTCTGCAGGTACTTGGCCAAGGCCACACAGTAATGGGTCAAGGGGGCGAAGCTAGGGTGGTCCTTCTTCGCACGCTCGCTGTGCTGGTAAAGTCGGGCAACCTCGTCATTGACAATCACTACCTCCAAACGATCGCTGACTTCGTCGTCGCGGTCATCAGTGTAAAGAGCGCCGCGCAGGTCTTGCCGCTCCACGACCTCGGTCAGCAGCTTATACAGGCGACGGGTCTCCGGAGACATGCCGGACACACCGATGACATCGGGACGCCGACGCTTCACAAGTTCGGTGAAGGCCGCAACATCCTTCCCGTCGGCAATGTTACGGTCGCGATCGCCAATAGAGAGGTCTGTAAACTTTCCATTTTCCAGCACACGTCCGTCCTCTTCGATGTAGGCCCAATGGATGGGCTCGCGTCCGACGATGCCGGTACCAGTGGACAGAGCCAGCACGCGCGGCACCGTACCCAGGATCATACCCTTAGGCTTGTAGGGGGCCTGATCCAGTCGCTGTGAGAACGCCTCGCGACACTCCTTCGCCACATGGTTCTCACATTCCTGACGGATATTTTCCTTAACGCTGCGATTGATCAGCCGCTCGAGCTTGCCGAGGGCCAGATCCAGCACATCACGCCGCGTGCGGTTCCAGACGTCTGCCAGTTCACTGTAGTTGTCCGACTCGATGTCCTGGTAGAGGCGTTGGCGGAAGTGGCCAAAGTTCTCAAAGCGGACCTTCACTTCCACCAAACCTTCCTCTTCGGCCTTGAGCATGCGAAGATACAGCTCGGGCCGACGGGCAATGTCGCTAAGTTGCTGGTTTCGTAGGTACTTGAACTCGTAGTAGGGGTGCTGCTCGTCAATGCGGCGCAGACCCTTCTCGGTGCGGAAGCAGTCCACTGCGCCATTCATGTAGTACGCTTGGCGGACGACCTTGCGCATCTTGGGGCTCATCACAATCTCCTCTGCGAACATGGTCTTCGCGGCCTTGACCACATGCGACGAGTTGGAGAAGTCGTTGTCAAGGAACGAATCCGCCAACTCATCCGGCTGCTCCGCGGGGTCTTCGGTGTACTGGCGGCGGCCTTCCTTCAGGGCATTCTGGGCAAACGCATCTGCAGTGATACCGAAGGCGCGGACGAGGCCGTAGGCCTTGCCATTCCGGACGCGCTCGAAGAACGTCTTGCTGGACGCTTTCCGGCGCTGGGTTTCCCCGTTTGCTTCCCCGTTCATGAGCGTCATATCCCTCAGCTGGGATGCATACTGGAAATGGATGTAGTCCTGAATATCCTGTAGCTCCTCCATCGTCACCGCGGTTGGGAGCATCTCCTCCACGATGGTATCATTCACGCTGAAGAGGCTCTGTAAGTTGTCAAAGGTCTTCTGGATCGTAGTGCGCTTTTCCACGAGCGCCTTGAACTTGAGATCATGGTCGAAGATGTCCCAAAGATCGGTCATGTTCAGGAGCTTTTCCGCCTTGATGGTGTACTGGGAGGCGTCCCCATCATGGCCCGCTCCATCCACGGCCACCTTGGCCGCGTGAATCATGTAGTCCTTCCGGTGCTGGAAGATGAACGGCACTTCCCAATCGTCAGTGACCAGGAACTCCAGTACCTTGGCCACTGAGCGCTGGAAGGGCTCCCGTAGTTCAGGCTCGATCCGCTTCTTGAGGAGCATCAGGTTGGAGATCCAGGCTGCCTCTTCCCGGAACTGGTCTTCGGTCAGCACTACGTTCCGGTAGGGCTTGCGGGCGATTTGGTGTCGTTCGGGTTCGTCCAGCAGACGAATCTGATTATCCTCCTCCGTCAACATCTTCTCGGCCAGCTGTGATGGCTCGAAGACATCCTTCAAGTCCAAGTGCTTTTCCTCATCCACTTCCTGCTCCTGCTCTTGTTCCTCCATTTCCAAGGCGAACAAATACTCGTTGCCGTCTCCGAACGCAGCGCGCATATCTTCGAGGGCGTTCTCGTCCAAGCCGGTCGCATCGGTGACGCCTAGACCTCCCTTGGAGGTACGAGTAACTTCCAAGTCTTCCCGTTCTCGCTGGATTTCCTCATCGGAGAAAACATCCTCTTCAATGAAGTCGTCCATTTCATCGTGCATGTGTCTCCGGTGACCGGACCTCCCGTAGTCGGCAGCGGGCTCTTCATCTTCATCGGAGTTGAAAATATCGTCAATGCCCTGGGACGCTTGTCGGAGATCGCGATCCTTGTGACCACGCTTAAGACGTTTGAACTTGGGCTGGGATGCTAGTTAGAATCGCCCCTGTGCAAAGGTAGAGAATCAGTGGGGGCAATGAATGAGGTGAACATACTTCTCCAGCAGAAGCTGATTGGAAGCTCGGGTTGAGTTCCCCAATGAGCTCCAGATCTTCCTCATCCAGATGTTCATCTTCGCGTTCGCGATCCCTTTGCTTTCGTTTCTCCCGTCGGCGCTCGGCGCGCTCCTCTATTTCCTCGTCCTCGTCGACAATGAAACCTTCGCGGACCTGAAAGTGGGTCAGTACGGGGTACATTAAATGAAAGTAAGATTGGCGCATAATTGAACACAGAGGAGGACATACGGCGCGAGCGGCTTCCTCATCGTCGTCATCATCCTCATCCTCTTCACTGGAGTCGTAGTTGTTGTTGGTGCCAGCACCCTCGCGGACTTCGCCATCATAGTCATCGGCAAGCTCCTCCTCATTCTCATCGTCATCAATCATGGCCTCCCCCTCGACCAGATCGCGAGCGCTCATCTTCGATTCTTGATGTGTTGGTGGACTAAAAGGTCGGGGAATAAGAAAAAGGGTGGATGGATGCAATCTGCGGAGACCGATTTGGGGGAGGAGAGTCGTTGAAGGAAACGAGTCACGACAAGAAGAACCGCCACAAGAGACGGTCACTCACAGAAGGTGGCCAAGCAGGAGGTTGAAAAGAAATGAAGAAAGGATGAGAGAGAATCTGGGCGGCTTTGGATGGACGAGACGAGATCCGATGGCTTGCAGCAAAGAGACGCTGTGGCGCGGGCACTGCTTCACCGCCCGCTGAAGCTGTGGCTGGAGAAAGAGCTCTCACGTGGAGACACTAGCCTCTTGGGGTCTAGCACTTAGGGGAGGGGGAGAACACCACTGGCGCAGATTGATAGGGGTCATGTGATGTGTTATACCCCTCGCGGAAACACTTTTTCTTTTCATTCTACAAACACATGAATACCAAATAATAGTCATAGCTTTTAAGAGGGTGGCTGGAGTGGACCGATCCTCTTCTCATCCCCTGTGGTGTGTTAGGGGTGAATAATTGGATGGAGGACAATAGGTTAGGTCTATCTACCCTATCACTTGCGAGACAAAGAGTGAAATGATAGACGGCGCCAACTCCCATCGCTTGTTTCAGCGGTCGTCACTAGACAGACCCGGTCGCTCTATCTTTGTTTCGGATTTTTCCCTGAATAGAAGAACTTTTTTTTTAAAAAAAAATCATCGTGCTAGTTATTATAAGTCGTAGACCTCGTGGCAGGAGAAAAAAAAAAGAAAAGAGGATACTAGTCAATAGTTGATACAAGCGTGTGCCTGGTTCCACCTACTTTGATCTCCGCCCCAACTTTCTCCTCCTCACGGCGTCCCTCCAAAGCACGCCAAACCCAACTTCGACCCTCTCCTTCCAATACCATCCATTCTCACTGGATCAAGTCGCCGGTTTTGAGGAGCACTCATTCACTTTCTCACCCTCATCCCCTGTCGAACCCTCCAACGAATTTCAGCGCCCATAAACGCCACCAAACCGGGGTGATCAAGTCCACCACCAAAGAACACCCCCCACCTGCGCTCTCTCCCGAACCTCACGGCGCTTGTCCGGTGTCTCAGTGTCCAATAACTCCCCCGCCGCTGCTGGCCCAACGGTCGGACACTCGTCGAGCTTTTTTTATCCTGTTTCCCTGACTAGCAAACTCCTCCTCCAGGAATCTTGGCCATAAATACGATCGTGAGACGGTACTTTTTGCCTGGAACTGCTTCGTCTCCTATACCTGTCGCTGTATTCCTCCTTCTCTCCCCACCGTCTCTCCCGCTATCCCAAGTCACGGTGCGCACTATCGCTCCTGTGACACAACCATGGCCGATCAATTCAAGGCGCGAACACTCAAGCGCAAGAACGTCAAAGGCCTTGCCCTGAACGCAGCCCCGAAGCCCGCCGCCAATAACTCCGATGGCGATGCTCAGGTTCCAGGCGCCATTGGAAATGCCGACAGCAACCGCACCGATACTCTGGAGATCGGTCTCGAGTTCCGTCTCGACCTGCGTAGCGAGGACTTGGTTACCCTGAAGGAGCTGGGCGCTGGAAATGGTGGTACGGTCTCAAAGGTTATGCACGCCTCCACGAAGGTGGTCATGGCTCGAAAGGTGCGTGCCTTCTGGGGACCCTCGTCGTCCGTGCTTTGCCGTAGACCCGGTATATATGCTGACTCCATCATCCTAGATCATCCGTGTCGACGCAAAGGAAAATGTGAGAAAGCAGATCTTGCGGGAGCTCCAGGTTGGACATGACTGCAATTCCCCCCACATTGTCACCTTCTATGGTGCCTTCCAGAATGAAGCCCGAGATATTGTCTTGTGTATGGAGTACATGGATTGCGGGTAAGGGAGCCGCTGCCTATCTTCTTTATCTGTTAGTTTCAAGCTAACCTGGACCCTTGTATGATAGCTCGCTCGATCGCATATCCAAGGACTTTGGTCCCGTGCGGGTAGACGTGTTGGGCAAGATCACCGAGTCTGTCCTGGCCGGTCTAGTGTATCTGTACGAAGCTCATCGTATTATGCATCGCGATATTAAGCCTTCCAACATTCTCGTCAACTCGCGCGGCAACATCAAGCTCTGCGACTTTGGCGTTGCAACCGAGACAGTCAACTCGATCGCCGATACGTTCGTTGGCACCTCCACCTACATGGCCCCCGAGCGTATCCAGGGTGGTGCGTACACCGTGCGCTCGGATGTGTGGAGTGTTGGATTGACGGTGATGGAATTGGCGGTTGGCCGCTTCCCCTTTGACACGTCGGACTCGTCAGCAGGCGACCGTGCCAGCGCCGGTCCGATGGGCATTCTAGATCTGCTGCAGCAGATCGTGCACGAGCCCGCTCCGAAGTTGCCCAAGAGCGACGCCTTCCCTCCCATTCTGCATGAGTTTGTCGCCAAATGTCTCCTCAAGAAGTCCGAGGAGCGCCCCACGCCTCGCGAGCTCTATGTATGTCCCACCCCTTGTCCGCTTTTGGACTACTGTCCTTTTCCGGATTTGACTGACAGCCGATCTAGGACAAAGATGCGTTCCTGCAGGCCGCCAAGCGGACGCCGGTTGATCTCCAAGAATGGGCCATCAGCATGATGGAGCGACACAACCGCAAGTCGTATCTGGCTCCTCCGCCGCCCAAGTCGCTCAAGGATGAGCCCCCGGCTGCGCGATCTACCCCGTCCCCGAAGCCTCAACCCCAGCCCCAGCCCAGCAGCAAGCCGATGCGCACTCCCCAGTACGCCCCCAGCGACATTCCCTCCAGCGTGGGCCGCAATAGCCCCTCGCAATACCAGTACAACTATGCCCCCGCAAACCCATCTCCGCGTCCACCCCGGTCGACACGCTCGCCTCCCATCTCTCTCGAGCATCTGTCGTTGGAAGATGAGTACCGCTCCGGCCGTCGACCATCGCGGACTCCTGTCGGGGGCCCCTCTTCCGGATTGGAACCCCCCATGCATCCGATGGGGTCTCGCTCCGCCAGCTCTCACAACACGAAATCGCGAATGCCCCTACAGTCAGCAGTACTGCCCATGCGAAGCACGCCTCCTCCGAATGGACCTCCGCCCCCTGCTCCTGGAAATGGATCCTGGCAACGCCAGCCAAACTCCATGCGCGGGGACCATATGACGGGCGCTGTCTAGACTGCCGGCCCTGTATCCACCATCTCAACTCTCTTCTCACCTCCCGTCACTTCTCTCACCTATTCTCCTATTCCCCCCTCTCCTCTTCTCCTTTAAGAATTTGTGGACGTGACGAACTGACAAACAAATGACACATACCCACAAACACACCGCTACTTGCTTGAAGCATGAACCTTTGAACCATGTATCCCATTCAACCTTACATGATGTATGTCCATGACAAACACACACACACACAACATTTTTGCATCGGCAAGGCGTATTCATTCATTGGCCTTTCTTTTCTTCTCCATCTCATTTGTCATATTCTCCTTTTTTTTGTCAGATATACACACATCCATAGCTTCTATTTTCTTTCATGTCCTTTTTTCTTCTCCTTTTTACTTCATATTCCATTATGCATATTCTAGGTTATCTTACCCATCTAGCTGACTGTAAGTATCTTCTGGTGTCATGTCACTCATCTCCGTTGGACACTGGTTACGTATGTTTCATTGCTCGATAGCATGTGAAAAATAAGATGGGGATGAATATAACAAGTAAAGTTAGCACGATGCTTTTCCTTGATGAACTACGTCACTGTAGGTTGTAGCGAGGGAGATGGTCAGTGATAAAGACTGTTATTTCTGTTTGGTGTTACGTAGGTTCTAGCATAGACTAAAGTCATGTCTATGGTGGACTGCTGATACCAGATTGATTACAGCCTTCACCCCCGGAATGAATCAAAGCAACCATGCCTGTCAAATGTTCTGCTTCGTTTTCGTCGCTAGACAGTGAAATAGTATGGGGTGAATGATCATAAACACTGCCTATCCGTGGGAAAATCAACAGATAAACATGGAGCAAACGCAGGTCACACAGATACAATCGAGAAGTATAAACACCGCACCGAATCATGCAGGTAGGAAAAGAGGAAATCCCATCACACCATACGATAGAGACGTAGAGAATAGCGCCGGGTGGCAAATAAGAAGACAAACGAATATAGACGGCCAGAAACCGCACATCCGACAACAAACACAACCCAACATCAAACTGGATGGACCCTTCTACTCATGCCCGTTCATCATTCCCCCTGAAACCCGGAATCCGACGACGCCAACGAAAAGAAAATAACGTAAAGACCAAAAGCACGAACACACTGAGCAGTCCGTCAAACAGGAACAGGCACGCCTGATTCCCAGCACAGGACACTCATGGCGAGACTGAGGAGAGAAAAGAAGATGATAGAGGTATCGCCCTACTTCATTGCAAGCTCCGATCCACCCACTGCACTGGGGCCCGGAGGAGCAGGGGCAATATTTGGACGCGGCGCCAATTCGACCATGGGGTGCTTGCTTCCTCGAGTGCTGGTTGAACCGCCACGACCAGTAGCACCTCCGCCGCGTCCGTGGGGGGTCCCTGAGGCGGCATTGGCTCTTTCCTGCTCTGCCTGCTGACGAGCAGCTTTGCTGATGCGCGGGCGACGAGTGGTACTGCCGCCTCGTGAGCCTGGGCCCCGAAGAGGAAGCCCGGTTTCCTGGGAGATCGGGACCGCAGCAGCCAAAGGCACCTGGTGGGAGGTTACAGGCCCCCTGCCCCGACCACCACGTCCACGGCCGCGACCACGCTTGATCGTACCGTCGGCCCTATTCAAAGCCATTAGCATCTCAGCCAGCACAAAAACAAGGGATTCAAGTTTCCGCAAGGGTATGGCGCTTACCGTTCCACTTGGACCTTTTCGCCCTCCGGCACCAGCGGCCCACTGTAAACAAAGAACCCATCCTTACTGGCGGCCGCCTGTTCCTGCCAGGCCAACTCACTATCATCCACGAATGGGTCGTCTCGATCATACTCCTCCATTTTCTTCTTACGGCGCTTCTTCTTCCCATCTGCCGGTTCGGCGCCATTCGAGCGAGCGGGCGCGGATGTTGCACCTTCCCCATCCATCTCGCTGTCCCGGTCGACCTCCATGCTCAAATCCTCATCCGCACTCTCTCCCGCGGACAGACCACGTCCACTCGCCTTGTCGTTGCGCTCCAAGGCCGCTCCGGCCGCAGCTACCCGTGCCAGTCGTTCCTTGTGCGCAGCGAGGCGAGGATGTAAGGCCGCGAACCCATATTGCTCCTCCGCCAAACGTGCAAAGTTGATGATCTGGTTCCCATGACCTTGGATTGGAACGTGCAGGATGATACTCGGTACCTGGCGGTTACTCGAGTCGCTTGTGGATGAGCCACCATCCACTCCGAAAAGGGCATTGGAGATCAGTCCCGAGCCTTGAGGTAGCGTAGGCGTTTCCTTGGCTGCCTTGGCCGGTTTGGGTGAGGGCGCCTTCGAAGCAGGTACTGTTGAGGGGGTTTTGGCTTCCTTCTTGGTCACCTTAGAGGCTGTCGACGAAGCAGGTGCCTCGGGCTCCACATCCATAGGCGTAGGACCTGGCGAGGGCGGTCGGTTATTAGAAGGTGCTGGGGTATGAGGTTCCGAGGCCGAAGGGGGAGGGACAGACGGGGCCTTTGGTTCTGGTGCCGACATCCGTGATTCCTGAGGTGGCGGCGGTGCTTGCACGGGTGTGGCATAGGGAGATCGATGGGCATACGGTGAGACTGGTCGTGAAGGTTGAGATTGAGGCTGCGGATGCGGTTGAGGTTGTGGCGGAGTGGGTGCGATAGATGCGCCTGCGGGCGATGGAGAGTAGCTCGACGCACCGTGAATCGGAGAGCCATACGGTCGAGGGGCGTAAACGGGCGGCGACGAGGCAGCAGGAGGATCAATGATACTAGCAATGGCCGGAGAGGCACTGGCGCGATACGTCGGACGAGGTGAGATAGGGCGGGCCGGGGGACTAAAGGAGGGGCGCCCCGGAGGCGGCGCCGCAGCAGCCAACGCCGGAGTCGGTGCTGGAGCCGGGGCCGGAGACGATGTATCAAAGGCCGACCGAATGGGATCGAAATTTTGACCGCTTGTTCTTTGCGGCGGAGGAGCGGGCGGCTGGGAGTGTGGCCGCGGAGGTGGAGCGGAGGGCATCAGGCCCGGATAAGGTGAGACGAGGGTTGTAGGGGCCACGGCCGGCGGTGTTGGATGGGCCGAGGGTGGCAAAGACGGGGGGTTCAGGAGACGCGATGTCCCATGAGACATCGCTTCAGAATCTAGTGTTTGTTTCCGCGGGCTCGTTATGGGAGTGCTTGGAGCAGGCGTCGAGGCTGGGGCTAGAGCTGGAGCTGGAGCTGGAGCCGGAGCCGGGGCTGGGGCCGGAGCTGCAGACGCAGCTGAGACTGCAGTGGTAGGAGGACTGGTCGCAGGCCCTTGTGGAACGGCAGCAGGCGCGGGATTCGGTGAATGAGCAGGAGGCGCCGCAACACTGGGGCTTTGATCGGGGGTGGCAGCCTCCAACTTGGGCCTCTTGCGAGAGTGAGACGCGGCCGAATTGGGCGGGTTAGTAGATGTCGACGACGACTTCTCTCGTTGGCGACGGCTGCCCCGTTTCGGCTCCAGCTTCTCCTCCTTCTCCTTCTCTTTTTCCTTTTCCTTTAATTCTTTCTCCTTGTCCTTTTCTTTCTCTCTTGTTTTGGGAGTTCGGACGGGTTGGTTTCGTTCGAGGTCGGGATCGTCTTCCTTCCTGCGACGCGACCGTCGGGTACGAGTTTCGCGGGCGGGATATTCAATGGAGCGCGACTCGTGTTCACCTGCAGCCGACAAAACAGATGGCTCTGTGGACATGGTGAAGAAGAGAAGGAAGGGAGGGGAGGGAGCGAAAGGACGAATCAAAGCTGGTGGCCAAGCATCGAGTGAAAGGGCGAGGTTGGTTAGAGGGAGGAGTGGACTGATGGACTGACGTCCTTTGGGTGGTGAGGGTGGTGGTGGTTGGCGGTTGGTGGTGAGGGAGATCTAACCCTTGTACTCAGAACAATAAAATTAGATAACAGGGGAATTGAGAGCCGAATGAATGGAGATGAAGAAAGGTTGAAAGAAGGTGGTGGAGATGGAGAGTGGATGGTGGAGGAGTGGAAAAGTGGATGGCGATGAATGGATGGGGGGGAGAGGAAAGGGAAGAAGGAAGAAAGAGGGAAGGGAGAGAGAAAAGCGAGAGAGTGAGAGAGCGAGAGGAACAGAGAGAGAAGGGGAAGGCCGAGAGGGAGGCAGACCAGATGGGAAACACCGGATCAGCAACTGCAACAAAAGAATAAAATTGCAATCTAAATGGACGGGGGAAACGGGGCGCTGTTGTGAGAGACAGAAGCAAGTATAACTTGCTAGATATACATACATACAGAAGAGTGCTTTCGATGAAGAAGAAAGATGGCAATCCGAAGTGGGCGAAAGCAGCAACCGGGGAAAGCGTGTTTGTATGGCCGGGGTTCCATTCCGGCGGGTGCGCTTCTCGTTCCTTTCATGGGCCGTTTCAATGGTTCGTTATCGCCTTTAGTTCCCTTCAAGTTGCCTGCTTGCTTGGCCCCTCAATGCACCCCCACCACCATGTAAACGGGGGTCCAGCCCATTGCCCATTGTTCGTAAATTGACCTGGAATCAATCATGTTTCAATATAATTGACTGACAAGGTTCTGTGCCCACAAGATTGGGGGACAACAATCAAGGCAGCGTAAAGTCCCAGTTTCGATATCAGATCGGGTCACCTGATTCAACGTGCTTTACCCAATCGGGGTGGTCAATCAGGTGAATCCACTAACCCTATCTGAGGCTAGCGTACCCCATTTTAGCTTTTGAGCCGCAGCTGAGTCATCCTGCAGTGTCCCTGTGCGGGCTGACTCAACGCTGACTCAGCCGAGCTTCCCGGGGATGGCTTCATCTCCGACGCTTTCGGCAGCTTTTCTTCCCCGCCAAACCCCTCACCAACTCTTCGACGCCATGGCCTTTCGCGGTGAACGCTTCGTCCTCGATCTGGGCTCCGACGATGAGTCCTCTCCAGCGGACACCTACGATGACGCTCAGGGTGCCCCGACCCTCAACATCCCCGGGATGATCGGCGAAATCCGTGAACGCTCCCCCGCCGCGGCCCCCGCCCCGCCTACTCCAAAACCTAC